CACAATTTCAAGTAAAACTTCAAGAATTAATAAAGAAACAAAACATGCAAGTGTTCAATTAAATCCAATGCTCCAAGAATGTAGCCAAATGCAAGATTAAACTCAAAATCATGATGAACTCATGGACTATAACTAGAACATAGCCTTGTATGCAAGAAATTCCATTAAAACACTTCAAATTGTTATGATATGAACATGCATGCATGAATTAAGCTTAAATTCAACATGTTTGAGCTAATTCTAGACTTAGGTAAGTAATTTCATATGAACCATGCAAGAACTAACTCAATTCACAATTAAGAAGGTAATTCTCCTACCTTTTTTTTTTATCAGATGAAAAAAGGCAGGGAAACACAACCAAACAAAACAAACTAGGCCAGCCTTAATAAAGCCATAAGAGCCAGAAGGGGGAAAAGATATCCAGTCTAGAGGGAGGGCATTCCTAAGAGAAGCCTGGCCCACCCAATGCGCTGCTTTGTTTGCTGCTCTAGGACGCCAAGAGAGAGTCAGATTCAAACGCTGAGCAAGATGTTTGATGTTGAAAAAGATAGCACCACAATCCCAAGGAGGATCAAGTTCAGATACACTGAGGTGAATAACAGATTTGTTGTCTCCTTTAATTTCCACTCCTGCTAGGTTGCGAGCAAGAGCTAATTGACAAGCTAACCGGCATGCGAGGGCCTCACCTTGGAGTTAATTGACAAGTTAACCGGTAATTCTCCTACCTTAAGTCTTCAATTCCAAGCCTAGAAGCTCAAGTATGCACATAATTCTTCAATTCTTCCAAGTTCAAGTTCAAGCTCAAATCTCTTGTTGAAAACAAGTCTTTCACACTCTCACTCTTTCTCATGTTTTTTTTTTGTCTCTAGGAAGATGAATAAGTGATGCCTCAACCTCTTATGCCTCAAGACTAGGTGTTTGCCTAGAATAATCCACTTAGTGGCAATTAGGTAAATAAGCCAAACTAATGTGATTCAACATTGATTAATCTAATTTAATCATACCGAATCAAGTTTGAATTAAATCTACCATAAAATCACATAAATTTTAATTAGCACATAACACTAGCCAATTTCGGAATTGGGCGCCGATAAGGCTTTCAATTCGCAATTCAAGGTCAGAACATGAACATATCGTTTTATGGCAAACAGATAAAAACACAAAGATAATGCAATGCATATGCAAATTAATCCCAGATTCCTTCTAAATTACTGTTAGGCATAATTAATCATGTTTTAGCATTAATCGGAGGTCGGGGTTATTACAATAACCCAATTCATTAGTACCTTATACTATATTATTCAAATAGACCCAATTAACATTGGGGCCCAATTTTACCTTATACTATATTATTCAAATAGACCTAATTAACATTGGGGCCCAATTTTATTTATTTTATTAAGCAAAATTTTTATTTAACAAAATTAACCAAAAAAGTAAAATTCTTAACTTCTCTCTCACACAATAATAAAATTACATGAATTAACTAATAAAATAGAATTGAGAATACTTAATTTTCTAAACCACAAGAGAATCTGTATTTTAAGAAAATTTGAAAAGATACATTTATAATTATCCAAATTTTTTTATTCATTGAATCCCATTCTAAAGGGCCCCTAAAAAAATTCTTGTAGCGGTGACGAACAATCTACAATTGAATTTTTTTTCCGTATATGTGTTGTTGGGCCAAATTGAATATATATATTGAATAAATCTTTGATCAACAATGTTACAAGAAATATTGAATGGATTAGTTATATTATCTATTGAAAAAGATTTGGTAAATAAATTTGATTATGTAAATTTAATTAGTGGTTTTGCTGCTAAAATGTGATAGTTGGATCAATTGTAAATTGAATATTGCTAAATTATAAAATAACAACATCAAATTTTTGTCTTTTTTTTGGACTCTTCGCAATAATTTATTCTTATCTTAATATATGGAGGTAAATTTTAATTTATAATTTTAACGATTATTTGTGCAGGTAAACTTATTTTGTGACTACTAACAGATAAAAAAATTTAGTACTTATCATTTTATCCATAAAATTTTTTCCAAAAAAGTAGGGTAAATTACAAATACCTCTTGATATTTGCTTAAAATGTGGATTGCACCTATGGTTTAGAAATATACAAATATCCCATTGTCAAAATATTTTATTTAACAAAATTAATTGAAAAAATAAAATTTCTAATTGCTCTCCTATACAATAATTAAATTATCTAAATTATTAATTGAAATAAATTTCTAACATTAAAAATTATTAATTAGCTTGATGATTTATTAATAAAGGGGTTATTTATTATGATATTCGAAACTTCAAAAGATATGATATAATTTTTAAAGCCATAGGAGGCAATTCATATTTTAAGTAAACTTCATGGGATGTATTTGAAATTTACCCAAAAAAGTATATGTAAGAGGGTCTCATTTCATAGTTTTGCCTAAGGTCTCATAAATCTCAAGGCTGACCCTACCTCTACCTCCATAAGGCACCCTAATCTCTCTCTCTCTCTCTCTCTCTCTCTCTCTCTCTCTCTATGTATGTATATACGATAAATCTATTTTGTTTTTAGGTGAGTTTGCCCCAGGTAAAGTAGAGGAAAGTTATAAGTTTGCCTCTAATCTGTCATTCCTTGATTTTCAAAATATTAATTAAGCAATAATTAGTTAATTTAAGCTTGATATTTTAATAGAAAACATTTTTTTTAACCTTATTCTTTCTTAATGTTAATAGTATTGAAGAAATAGAAAATTGTATTCAATAATATGTCTCTTTACAATACAATAAGAGGCCTATATATAGGTAAGGAAGAGTGGTCACCAAGAAAGCTAACAGTAGAAATATCCTAATATGGTAAAACCTAATTAAAGTATCTAAAATATAGTGAATATAATATGTATACACACAATATTCACTAACAACTCCATCAAACTCAAGGTAGTTGCAAAGAGACCAACTGGAGTTTGGAAAAGGAAACTAAAGAAAATAAATTAAAATAAAAATAATAATGCTAAAAGATAGTTTATGGTCGTGCCAGATTGTTGTAGAAGCAACCAGAACTAATGCCATAAGACAGTTTATGGTCGTGTCGGACCGTTGTAGGAGCAACCAGAGCTAATGCCAGAAGATAGTTTATGGTCATACCGAACCATTGTAGGAATTGAGTGCGCCAGGGGAAGCTTAGGTAGTGCGCCAATAGGCAGCTTAGGTGATGATGCGTTAGGGGGCGACTTGGGTGGTGCGTCAAGAGACAGCTTGGGTGGTTCGCAGAGTGTATCACCTTGCTCACCATGATATAGATATATTACCTCTCTTCAAACTCAAATAGGTTTAAAGATATAAACTTATTTAAAGTTGAAATAAAGGGAGAGACAGAGTGTAGCGAAAGGGAGAAACTATGTTCTAAAAAAAAAAAAAATTGTAGAAAGGAATTTTTATTTTAATGGTGGGACAAGCCTATGCGATTGAGTTGAAAAACATATTGTTTTGTTTGAATGGAAAAAGTGTACCCGAGAGAGAGTGAGAGAGAGAGGGAGAGAGAGAGAATTTTGGATGGGTTTAAGTTTGGGAGAGTGTGTAAGGTGGTTTTGATTAAAAAAATTTGAGTGTAGATTAGAGTGGGGTAAATCTGAGAGAGGGAGATGAAAGATCTTGAATGTGAGCTAGTGGTTGAGCAATGGTGAAGGATGGCAATGATGGGCCGGAACTACCGGCGTGATGGTTGGAGTTATAGCTAGCATGATGGAATATATGTTCGAGGTGGAGGCGATGGTCAGAGTTGTAGTGAGTAATGGCGGCAATGGTCAGAGACAAAGATGAATGTGTGGTTGTGAGATACTCAAGTTCAAGGACTAAGGGGTTTGGGATGCAAAGACAGCAAATAGGATTGAGATCCGGTGAGCGGCCAAGGCAAGGTTGTCGCTCTCCAGTAAGATGAAGAACACTAAGAACGTAACCTATAGCTCTAATACCATGTTAACAGTATTGAAGAAATAGAAAAGTGTATTCAATAATGTGTCCTTTTACAATACAATGAGAGGTCTATATATATGCAAGGAAGAGTGGTCACTAAGAAAGTTATCGATAAAAATATTCTAATATGATAAAACTTAATTACAGTATCTAATATATATTTTTTTTATCAGCAAAGAAAAAACTTTATTAATGAAAAAGTAAAATTACAAGCATAACTTATATCAACAAAGGAACACAAAATATCATAGCTAGACTTGACGATCCTAACTAGGATGGTATCGAAAAACAAATGCAATCATATGCTAGCACTTAACCCAAGAATTGGAGAGAGAGACCAATTAAAAAAGAAAAGAAAAAAGAAAAAAAGAAAAGAAGAAAACAACAACAACAAACAAGGATCCCATTCAAAATCATTTCACTCATTCATATTTACTTAAATTGTCAAAAATCTGATTTACATGGTAAAACGTGTTTGGAGGCCAATATTTTATTAAACTCAAAAATATATTCTATTTTTTCTTGTTAACCTTATCTTGTTATAAAATGACAAGATCGATGATGTTCAAGTATAGTGAACTTGCATTAGAAAATGTGTATAATTTTATGAAAAATAATATGCAAGTCTACTTTTTAGACTTATCTTTTAGATCCAATGATATATAAGTGATATGATTGGTTAATGATTAGAGAAGATATGAAAAATAATATTACTTTAAATATCTTAATTGATTGTCATATCATTGAACTTAAAAAGTGAGTCTAATTTTTAGACTTGTATAACAATGTTCTAATTTTATAGTTTTTGAAGAAAATAATTTTTATTTAAAAAATGATGAAACTCACTCAAGATCATGACTAAGTGGTTAGTAACTTCATTATCTAAACCACATTTGACACAAACAGAATCGAAAATTCTGCTATGTTACTTATTAAATGAATGATATTTAATGGATTTTTTTTAATGGAAATAAAATATGTTGTGTTTAACTATATTTATAACCCTGTGAATGGACTTTGTAGGTTAAATTAATTACAATTGAGAAATTGGTGATCTTTGGAATGGATAACGTGATAGAGATATGGCCTAGGGAGCTTCAACCTAAAGTGAGATACATGATTATTTGGCAGTGCCGTAAGCTATCGAATATTCTTTTTCCATCCAATGTGATTAAGGGCATGCAGAGTCTTGAACGACTTATGGTTGGGTGGTGTCAATCTGTGGAAGTAGCTTTTGATCATGAAGGAATAATTGTTAGGGAAGGCAATCCAGATATCGTACTCCCTTCATTAACAAAATTGGTCCTACGTTATCTACCAAAGTTGACACATGTTTGGAAGAACAACTTACTAAGAATTCCAAGCTCTCAGAACCTGACATCCTTAACAGTAGTGGGTTGTAGCAGTTTGAGATATATGTTCTCATCTTCTCAAGCCAAACTTCTTGTGAAACTACAAGAAATAGCTGTAGCTGAATGTGGTGTGCTGGAAGCAATTGTTAATGAGGAACCAAAAGTAGATGATGAAGTCGCAACAAATATAATCATGTTCCCTCAACTAAATAGTCTCAAACTCTATCATCTGCCAAACATCAAGAGTTTATGTCCCCAAGCTTACACATTTGAAGGATCATTCATCGAGGAGATTAAAGTAATCAACTGTCCCAACATGAGGGCACTCCCTTCAGCATTGCAGTGCATGCTAGAGCTACAAGAGAGCAATGTTCGAGAAGTGGAATTTTTTAACTCAGCTCAACACCATCTCTTGGATAGAAAGGTAAGTGAGTTGTCTTAAAATTATAGTATTCAACATTAACAATCCATTCTTTCAAAGAAAATATTTCCAATATCCATTAAACTAAGGATAAACCTCTCAATGTTTGAAGAGGAAAGAATTGTTGGATACACAAAATCAAGGAGAATAAACTCTTTATCATTGATGTGGTCAAAGATTTTGTCAAGAAAATTAATCCATTTTTTTAAAAAATAAAATAAAATTAGACATAATTTTTTGGGGTTACTACATCCCAGTGGATGCCAGAAGGAAAAAAAAATACAAGTCCGTGAAAAAGTAATTTACAATTTTGATTATTAATATTTATAAAGTTTCTCACTAATTTGTAATTATTTTTTCAAAACTCTACTAATATGATATTTTCCCTAATTTTTTTCTAGAATGATGTAGTGGTAGTATTGTTTTGTAATTAAATGTCATTTTAATGGGCACATGATTTTAAAAGGGTAAGTTTTATTGCAACAACATCAGTCTGTATACAAATCTCATATGTTTTTTCTGTTTGTATATCATTATTCTTTTGTCAATTGTTCCCTGCTCTCACATAAATGGTGTTAACACTAAGAGAGTGTTTGTTTGGATGGACTAGATAGGGGCAGATTACAATACAATGAGCTGTTAGTCCTAAATTATTAGTCTTTTAACTATTTTGTTAGAAATGATGTGTATTTCACTATTTTTTCTATCTTATTTTTTAACCAAACAATGGATTAGTAAATAAGTCACTAACACAATTGAGGTGATAACAATTGCAGTTTAGTTTAAGCACTAGGGGAATACTTAATGTCACAGGAATAGATGAGCCAACTGAGAAATGGCACAATCAACTTGAAGTCGGATGCCTTGACAAAGTAAGATTCATGCGGGTCCAGTGTTGTGGAAAATTATTGAGTGTTGTCTCGTCCAAGTTAATGCAAAGACTGCACAATATACAAGGGCTAAAAGTATGGTGGTGTGATTCACTGGAAATGATATTTGATCTCCAAGAAGGGGTCTGTGCTGATGTTGCTGAGAAAGAAACATTAATCACTCAGTTAAGCACATTGACATTGAAGTATTTGCCAAAGCTGACGCACATATGGAAGAATATTTCCCAACAAACTCATTGTTTCGAAAATCTAAGTTCTCTAGGAGTGCAGCACTGTGACAACCTGAGATATATATTCACAATTTCCATGGCCAACGTTCTTGTGAATCTACAAAATCTAACAGTTGAACACTGCGAGAAGGTAGAAAAGATTGTTACCAGGGAAAACGAAGAAGAGATCTTTTCGCAAGAAATTGACTATGTCTACCTTCTTAATCTTCCAAGTCTCGTGTGTTTTGGCCCGGATGTAAATAATACTGAAATTCCAGCAAGAAGAACCGATGTAAGGCTCTGCCCCAAATTTTCAGGTAAAACTCCAATTATATAATTGTAAGTTTTTGACGAACTCAAGAAGGCAACTTCACTACTCATTTTTTTAGCCATACATCTTACAACTAAGAAAAAAGTAGTTATGATAAGGTAGTATTTGTCTCACTAAAATAAAAGATTGAAATGGAACAATCATTTCTTAACCTTGTTATGAAATGATCATTCTTTTACAATAGTAAACAATAATTCTATTTATAATATATTTTATATTATATTATATTTTTAGTACATCAAATATAAAAATATATGTTCTAATGGAATGACCATTCTATTTCATTTAATTTCAATAAACCAAACATAGGATATAGGAACACAAACTCATGACATGTCCAATGATAATTGGACAATACTAGGAATATTTTACATAATATTCTACACAATCTCTCACATTACTAATGAATATGGTTAAACTTTAGGGAAAATTACAATTAGGTGCTTATAAGTTTGCAAAATGATAATATTTATTTATTTATTAATTATTATTTTTATTTTATTTTGTTTTTGACAGAGTTAGGAAATTAGCAAGTTAGTAATTAGATTCGGGTTAATTGCACTTTTAACTCTTATAGTTTAAATCAAGTTCCACTTTGGTCCCTATGATTTCAAATTAAACAGTTTGATTTCTATACTTTAAATCTAGTTTTAGTTTGGTCCTTCTATTCAAGTTGGAAGTTAAAAATAACGATTTTGGAATGTACACAGAAATTAACGAAAATTTGTATGAGAGAATCAAATTGAAACTGGAATTAAAATGTTGGGACCAAATTAAAATTTGAGTCAAATTATAAAAGTGAAAAATAAAATTAACTTCTAAAAATATTTTCCCAAGGTAAATACTAGTCAGTCAAAAGGGTGAAATATGGTACTACACCTAACCACACAGCTACCTCAGTAACAACCATGGTGTGTCCAACAAAGTAATACTACATATTTAGATTTATCATTTTATGGTTCAGATTTATTTCACACATAGACCATGCACTATACAAATTCAATTTCAATTACACATTTTCTTTCTTGGTAAATTGGGCATAGTTAAGTGGGGTTCATATAATTATTGGTGTCAAACAATAAGGGAAATCCCTTCCGGAGGGGGTGCAAGTATTTTTTTTAAATATATTTTTATGGTAAATATTATGTAATTTTTTAATAAAATTACAATAATTTGTGATTCAAAACTAAAATTAGGCATTTTTGTAATGTTTAACTTTAATTACAATAATTTGTGATTCAAAACTAAAATTAGGCATTTTTGTAATGTTTAACTTTATTTTTTAATAATAAACTCTCGTAATTCTATCAAAAAATTATATAACAATTGTCACAAATTGTCATAATATATACCCAAAAAATACGTAAAAAAATGCATATAATACACACCTTATCACATGCTTGAGATACAAATGATGTTAGCAGCAATGAACTTTGTATTTAAGAATTAATAGTATATATATATATATATATATATATTCTTAAGACAATACACACCTATTTTTAGAGTGTGTACTATATGCAAGTTATGATAATTGTGGTACTTGTACGAGTACGAAATAATGTTCTCGTATAACCCTGTTGATCAAGTTTGCGCTCCTCCAAACATCGTCGCTTTACTCCCTACAAACACAAACGTAAGCTAGCTGGCGGGTGTGTGCTGGATACCTCTCCGTTGCCCAAGTCAGCAAAATAGACAATAGACAAAAAGCTGTGCGTATTCGAGAGTCAAAATTGTGATGCCTGTCCATAGGTCCTGTTATGAGCTTTTATGGACTTTGCCTGGCACAATCCTAGTAGGACTTTTATTCCTTAATATAGAGTCCTCTTAGGAATCATACTTCTGAAAGATAATGCTTATCCTTCAACACCCTCCTTACTGCTTTAAGCAAGTGAAATGGTTTTACCTCGGTAGTATAACAAATCAACCGAGCTAACACATGTTGAAGCGGCAGATTTCACCGAGCTTTCCCTAGCTCGGTTCCACCTTGCTTACTTAGCTCGGTTTCTACCTCACTTTACTTAGCTCGGTTTCCACCTTACTTTGCTTAGCTCGGTTCCACCTTGCCTTTACAACAAGGCTCCCCCATTCCTTGGTTCAGAGTACTCAAACCGAGCTAACCACAGTCATTCATGACTGTGCTAACAAGGCCCAACGGCGAAGCCCATTCTGCTCAGCCCATTAATCGGCTCACTTTTACCCAGTCCTAGCTCGGTCCAAATTTACACATTTTACACTATCAATTGCCCCTTAATGCCATCTGCAACGCATGATTTGGGATTATCCTTCTCCAACCGAGCTAGAAACATTCAAGCCATCCGAACTCGCTTTCCACCAGGCTACCGATGAGTTCGGTTAAAAACATCTTTTCAATTGTCCTACACGTCTGAATCATTTTCTATTCTCTTGGACATGTGGCAAACTCCCGTTGGCCAAGTATAGCTGTTGCAGCCGTCTTCGTACTTCACAAATTTTGAACAGTCCCGCCCAAACCTATGCCTTACACAAAACCCTACTTTTTGAACCTAACACGCCACTGTTCATCTTCACGTTTCTGTGCTCTGAACCTTCATTTTCATAACCATAGCTCCTGCAAAGCTTGTGCTCTAGCTTGGCATCCTCACTGTTTTGATATTCATCCCTTCACCTCAAAACTGTAAGTGACTTAATCCCTTGCTTTTTTCATTTACTCCATGAGTATGTATGATATAGATATGTATATATATATACATGCGTTTTTCAAAACATACTCCCATAATTTTCACACAAATGGGTAAGAACCACCCAAACCCCCAAGAACTACATGATAGGTTTTTAATCTGACTCTTAACTAGATTCACAAATAATTTGTAATGTGATGCTTTTGATTGAAAATAACACCATGACTGAACTAGGGACCTATTCAAATGACCGAGCTAGAACTTAGAGCCACGCCTTCTATTACGGCCGAACTAAGAACCTTCCTACTCAATGACCAAGCCAAAACTTGAGTCACACCTTGTGTTACGACCGAACTAAGGATAGGCTATAACCCTTTTAACCGAACTAGGGTTTTTACTTATTTATCCTTCTTTTTTAGCCCGATCCAGTGATCTGGGCATAACACTTTTTATCTCCATTTTGCAGACTTTGACTAGGTTGGCCAGGCACACCTTTGCATGCTCAACCGAGATACTCAACGTCATCTCAACACCGAACTAGGAATCCGGGCTAAGTTATACATAATTTAAGTTATAAATGGGCAAATATCGGTTCCTAGTAAACTCACTTGGGGCCATTGCTGAATTCTGCAAGGACTACAACATCCCTGACGATGTTCACCTTTCTTTAGCCGAACTAGATACCACTCCCTGGGGAAAACCAGGTTTTGTTCCATTCACCGTAATATCCATTGTTGAGGCCGGTCTCCGATTTCCAGTCCAGCCTCTCCTTTGTGAATTCCTTAGGCAGACAAGACTCTGCCCCACCCAGCTCTCTACCAATTCATATAGAATAATAAATGACATCACTGAGCTAAACCGCCGGCTTGGCCTCAACCTTGGTCTAGCCGAGCTTTTCCATCAGTACTCACTCGGCCAAAATGAAGACGGCTGGGTCTATTATTTAAGAATAAGAAGGCGCCAAGAGAAAATAATTAAAAACATGCCGGACAAAGACATGAATGACGACGACTTTTTCTAGGTTTCTGGCAATTTTGAAGACCAGGAAGCCCAGATACCGGGCTACGGTATTAACTGGAATAAAGGAACAGCCGGTATGAACACCTTGGCTTAATTTGTATGTTTTTCACCCTTGTTGTTTATAAGTTTCTCACCGCGCTAACCGTTGCTTTTTCCTTATGCAGACTTGAACCAGCTTAAGTCACAATATCAATACCCCAACTTGGACGCTCTCCTCTTCGCGCCGCGCTTTGGTACCGCAATTGAGGTTGGGCCGAGCTCCTTAATTTTGAGCCGACCTATAGATACAGCGGAAGAAGGAAGACTAGGGTAACTGACTTTCTCCTTGAGCCATCCCCTGAACCAGATCCTGCACTTCCTCAAATTAGGCTGATCCCACTAACAGAGGAACAAGAGATGGTAAAGAAAAGAGCCGTCAGAGCACTCATCACCGAAACAACAGCTCCAGCTATCGGGGACCAAACTGAGACACCACAAGCTGGACAAACACGTGAGTCCGTGGTAGCCCTTCCAACAGCCCGGGCCTCATTATCTCGGTCCAATAAGCGTGCTCGCACCTCTTCAACCGAGCAGTGACGGTTGACTGATGAGGAGGATCACCCGCCCTCTGAAATAACACCACCAAGCCCTGAGCCTGTCCATATTGACCGAGCTAGCTCTTCTGAATGGGCACCAAAGATAACATACAAGAACCGGCCTGTTTCTAGCACCGACTCGGTGGCAGCAGACAAGGACCACTCGCTCGCTTTCAATCTTGCCAAAAGTGTGTGTTTGGCCGCTGACATAGAGCACCACGATCACCTTACCAAGCTCAAGGCCATCCGCTCAGCAACTAAGTCAATGGTGCTAGTAAGTGCTCTCTTTGTTTTGTTTGCTGAATCACGATTGTTTGCTCGGTTTTAATCATTTTTACTATCTCCCCTTTTGCAAGCCATGCAAAAGAACCACGTTGCTCATAAGCGCGTGCTAGAATTACGCAAAATAGTGCGACTGGCCGTGGCAGATGCCAACGCCAAAACGGCCAAGCTAAACGAAGTGAAGTAGAAAACCACCGAGCTTGAATCTGACGTTGCCCGTCTTACTGAGTTGGTGAATGCGGCGGAAGTGGATAAGCAAAAAGCTTTGGCTGCGTTGAAAGACCGTTACTTGCGTGAATTGGCCAAGCTTGAGAAGAAAAAGGATGCTGAGATCACCGAGCTAAACAAAAAAATGGAGGACGCTGAAGACAGGGGTTACAAGAAGGGGGAGGCCACCTACATCCTGCAATGTGAGGCTTTGAAAGATATATTCTTCAAATGCGGATGAA